ATATTGCCATATTTGTATATTTGCAACCTTTTTGTATTAAGATCTACTACTTATTAGTTTTTTGCCAACAATTATTTATAAGCAATCCAAAAAAAATCTTCTCTTATTGATCAAATAACATAAGTTGATAGATGTAAATTTTTTCAAATCCTAAAATGCCTACTTTATGGAAGCTCTCAAGGAAATTAAATAATATAATAATATAAAGACTTTAGTTTATAAATTCCAACATTAGAATATATTTGAGGCATAATTTGCATTGATTTTTGAGGTTGAATTAGCCTTATAGATGAATTAGAACGACTAAGATGCATAAGATAAATTCAATCTAGTTCAAATCACCTTCCACTCTAATTGATAAAGAAAACTTCATGCTAAGCACAATCGCCACATATTTGAGTGGATTTAAATTAGTGACAGATGCAACCACAAGTTTTTTGAGTTTCACAATAATTTTAAAAAACCAACAACTACTTATAAACTTATCAAGGATAAAATGACATTCATAGAATATATTGTTATATAACAATATGTAGATTCCTACTATATTCAACTACATACATAGAATGACAGAGTCAAGGCTAATAACCAAGTTTGGCAACTATTTTTTTCAAGTGTATTAACAAGTGTTACAAGGAAATATGGACTAACACTTACTAAGTCCTCTACATATTAAGAAATCACTTAAGTAATTAAATAACTTCTTAATAATAAAGCACCTAATATTGATGGAATTCTATTGAAATGTTTTAGACTTTCTTGGATAAAATTGGCATAGATTTCTTGAACTTGGTCAAAGAGGTTTTTGTAATCAAATCCCTATATTGTACTTTTAATTTTAATAAGATTAGTCTTCTTCTAAATAAAAGAGAACTTATATATTTTACTAACTTCCACTCAATCTCCATCTTGAGAGTAATATATAAGATAATTGCTAAGATTGTAGCTAACAAGATGATACCATACTTATCTAAATAGATTTGGAGCTCTTAGGCGGCCTTTTTCTCTAAAAGATACATCTTTAATAACATCTTCATAGCACAATCAGCCATGGATTAAATAAGAAAAAGAAATCAACCACTAATAAATTTTTTACTCAATTTTGAAAAGGCATATGATCAAATTAGATATACTTTTATTCAACAAACTATATTGTACATAGAATTTTTTCAAGATTGGGTGGATCTAATAATATTTTTTTACAAAGAAGCTATTATATAGATGATACTTAATGACATCCTAAGGAAGCAATTCTTTCTACAAAGGTTGGTATATTAAGGTGTCTATTGTCATTATATCTCTACTTCCTCATAGATAACATTTTGGATCATATATTGGACAATCCAACTAGATCTTTGATTGGTCTCACCTTCCTCAATGATTATATAACAAACAATTAAGTGTATGTAGACAATTCAATATTATACATCCAAAGAAATAAAAACAAATTAGATATGCAATGAGCATATTTACCATATATTATAATGGAAACAAAGCTCAAATCAATTGAGATAAATGTATTAATATTTAAGCTTTTCATCATCCTTATATTTGATAATGGACTCGACATTCAAGTCTAAATTAATTAATTTATAATACAATGATTAGATATCTAGAATTTTCAATTGGTTTTATGGCACTTGGAGAAAAAACTATCAAAAAGATTATCCAATGTCTAATAAACCGCTTTAATATCTAAGGCTTATATAAATTATTTCTTTTGAAAAGAATAATAATAATAAAAAATCATGCCACACTAGCTAGTATTTGGTTTCTTTGCTCCTATTTAGCAATTACAAATTCAATCTTTTAAAACACACAAGTACTTATCTGCAATTATATTTGGAGAGCTACAAACAATAATACAACAAAGGCAAAATTAAATTGGTGAATATTGATTTAAGCATTAGATTCTAGGAAGCAAAAATTCTAAATCCTTAATTTAAAATACATGAATTTTTGATAAAATTGGTAGTCAAGAGCTTCAAGCCCAAGTATGAGTTGTGGATAATATTTGCTTGCTATTATTTACATTGCATTAAACCTACTAGTATAAAAAAATGGCTTTGCTATTTAGATTGGATCTTAATAAGATATACCTCTCCTCTTCTTCTCTTTTCTCTCTATATACCTCTCTCTCTTTCACTCTATAGAAATCTACCTTCTAAGCCTAGACAATGATAAACACAAGTTTATAAAAATCCTATCCAAAATATACTACAAAAATTCTTAGACAACCATTCTTTAATAAATATTTCATCCAATAATTCTCTAAGATACTTTTTGAAATTAAATGAGTGTCTACATTCTTTTTGTGGATAAATAATAAGGATTTTAGATCAAGGTCTTCTTTCATCAATATACTAAGCATTGATACTTTGCATCTTTTATCAAAAAAATTACTAGATTGTAAATTATTTATTCACAATAGGTAGCATTATTCTGCATTATCCTCTAAAAATCCCCTCAACTAATATTTCTTTAGGTAGGCAATTAAGTCTCCTTCACAACCAAAAACATCTAGACAATCTATTACTTATAGTCTTGATGTATCTGTGGCTTGCTAGATAGAATATATTAAATAAATCCCTTTGAAGAACTCACACCTTGTGGTATCAACATCCAACATCTCTTCTTTGTTACTCCTCACTATGTTCGTATCATATTTACAATAAATATAAAATGTGAGGTGATTAAATAGAATCTCAAAATCTATCTTAAAATTGAATATGTTTGGCTATTTGATGGTAGCACTATTAATTGCTTGGAATAGAATTCTAAAGACTAGGAATAAAAGAAATTGAATAGCCTACAAAACTATAATTTAGACCAATATACTACAAAATGTGGCTATTGGATCAATCTCCTCAAAACAACCAATGTAATAAAATGCTTCTTCAATACGTAGCAACAATGGTATACAAACTAACAATATAGACTCTTCATCCAATGGATTTGGTACGTTTACCTCCATCTACAAGATTGCAGCCATGCAATGACTTCATCTTGTATGGAACCTTCCAATAGGAAAATAGAAAGTCAATGCTACTTGGACTGGTGGTTGTAGATTATGTCACATTGATACAATTGAAATTTTTAAATATGCCTTCTATATTTGCCTATGTATATCTCTAATATAGAGCTGCTTAAATGTTCTTCACTCTCACTATAACCTGATAAATAATATGGCACTTCTTATAACATTTAAGTTGGAGTCCTGCTTAGTCCAAGAAATATTAGAATATCCAAAATAATCCCTTGGGACTTGGAAACTTAGATTTGGATTAATAATAATATCTTATGAGATCTTTTCCAAGTTAGCTCTTAGTAGAATATTTGAATACAAAAATGCAAAGAGGAGATTATTTGCCATTGATGTACTTTTTGATGAAGTGGATCAAGAAATTAGAAGCAATTCTTCTATTTTAATACTGTAGCAAGTAAGTATAATGAGTGAGTCTCTAAACTTAGGCACAATACAATGGCAATAAGTGTCACCTAACTTTGTCTCTTCACAACTGACAATACAATCTTTAACTAGCCTTTTATTTTTATTTTTTTATAAGCAATTTTATTTTTTGTGACAAAATTCACCAATTGGATGTCATTATTTCATTTGGTCAAAGTAGTATGTCTTTGAAGACACTATAAAAGAAAAAAGTATAACTTTATTTTAATTTGTGAAAAAAATGATATATATGCTTTAGTTTAAATTACATTGAATATAAAGATTTTTTGGTTTAAATCTAATTAAGGTCATTGAAGGATACAAATACAAAGTTAGTACCTCTTTCTTACAAAGAGTGCATAAAAATACACCAATGAAGTACAAGTATATAATCTTGATGTAATGAAGGTAACAACAATTATATCTAAGTACTCTTAATGTAGAACATTGTTGAACTTATCATTTATTAAGTAATGTAGGACATAGATTTTTTAGTATAAGATATTCATAAAGAAATAAGACAAGGCCTCAATTCTTGTCCATGCAAGAGTTGCACAAGCAAGACAATCTTGCATTTAAAGCTTAATAACTACTTCCTACATTTCTAAACTAGAAGGCTAAATAGAAGCAAATTATCTTATATTAGAAGAACAATTAGGTAAGACAATGTTCTATATTTTGATGAAACATTATCCAAATGTTTTACACAAGAACAACATAATTATATCATATAATTGGATTAAAAATGATGGATATTAGAATAAAATTATGAATATTTTAAAAAAATCTTATATAAAAAATTGTTTGTTTACATCATTGCAAAATTGTGCTATAATTTGATACCTCATATTTTAAAACAATAAAAAAATCAAATTCCAAAAATATAATTTTTTTTGTGAATAGCTATTTTCAAGAATTTATTTTTATGTATAAAGATAAAATGAACCTAACTTATATAGATGCTTGACCATATATAATCTAACTTTTAAAAAATCCACTATTAACTATTTGTTTTTGTTTTTTGTTGTTTTTTGTTTTTTTGTTTTTTTTTTTCGATCTTGAACTCTACTAGTTGCAAATTTTTTTCTCTATCCAATCCATTATTCTCAAATGGAACAAAAATTCCAAATCTTTGTTGTCAATACTACTTTAAGAGTGTTTTACCATATATTTTCAGTTAAAATTTAAAACCCATAATGTGAGTAAATAAATAAATCCTTATTCAAAAAAAGAAAAAAAGAAAAATGTATCTTTGCACCATGGTTAGTTATGGTCTTGTAATTCAATCATAGAAAGATGAAGACAAAAATTTGAATAATCCACATTTTACAATTTGACACTCTAAATTTGACAATGTAATGGTAAATGCGTCTCTACATTTTGAGAGCTCTGTCTATACACATTTTACAACACCCACGCTATCTAAATTTAGCCCACATTCCCCTTTTTAGTTATTCCACTAAAAATAATCAACAACACAAAACTTATTAAGACACAGAAAATACATACCTACCAAGTCTTACCTAAAAAAGGACGAGAAGAAACAGTAATAACAACAATTTACAATGCATGTGCCACCAACACAAATCCAAAATGGGATTTCGGAAGGAAAATGCTTCGGAGTGATGCGATGGTGAGCAACATGCAGATTCAGTAAACACAGTGAGTGTCTGTAGAGACCAATTCCATGGCTGGGTATGCGAAGCTGAAACCTCTCATTTTTCTGCAGGAAAGAAGAACTGAAGGGGATTCAATATTCATTTGCAAAGTAGACAATCCTCGAAGTGGATGTCGCAGTGTGTGCGAAGAAGGAGAAGACACTGCAGTCTGATTAATGTGATGGAAGTGGCCAGAAAGTAATGAATCGGAGGATGTAGCCGAAGTGGGATTCAGACGAGTGAAGATGTGGGTGGATTTGTGTGTCTGAATGGGCACGACGGTAGAATCTCTTGGGTTTTTTTTCCAAATCGCCGAGTTCACGGTGTTGGTATTCTACACGCGCGCGAGATGAGGCAGAAGTGGGATGGTTTGCTGCGTTTTTGTGGACTCTGAATCGATGGGGGGGGGGGGCACGAACCGGCGGAATGGGAGATGCCATGACGGGCAGTGAAGCATTATGGAATGAGGCGGTTGAGGAGATTCTGGCTGACAAGTTGCCTGTGCCTGTGATCTGCCTACTGCGGTGTGTGTGCAAGCGGTGGAGGTCATGGCCTTGCAAAGGGCGCGTGAGTCGAGTCGAGAGACCGAACCTCGTGTTCCCGTTTCTCGAGAAAGAGAATGCTTCCGTCGCGACATACAATCCGACGCTGCGAAGGTGGTATCGTGTTCCGCTGTGTAATTTGAGGCCAAGCAATCCGAGGCTGCAATCGTGGAATCCGCGGGGCGATGTGTGTATCATCGCCGCTGATGGGGGACTGCTTTGATTCATGGTAGGGTTTATTACACCGCAGAAGGATGTGGAATTTCTTGTGGTGAATCCCATTGCGAACACATGGAGGCAGCTTCCACCCTTACCTCGTGATCAGCCTGCGAGACCGCCTTTTGTGTGTGGCATGCATGTGGACAAGACGAGAGGTACCTACAAACTCATCCTGGCAGGGCAGAATCTCACGTTCAACGAGGAGGAGGCTCGAGCAACCCGTATATTCGATTCGGCCATCGCAGAATGGAAGTCCGGAGGCGACCTCGCTCAGGAAGTCTTTGGAATGCAGAAGCAATGCCATTACTGGGATGGGAGTTTTCACTACGTCGATTGCTGTGCGAACAGAGTGCAAGCGTACGATGAGTGTCATGGGATTTGGAAAAAAGTTTTGCCTATCATACCCACGTTCCTCTGTAGCCCAACGCTTGTGGGGTGCTGTGACAATATCGCTCTAGTGGCAATTGGAAAAACTGCGGTATTAGAGGTCATGTTGCTTGATCCAAGCAAAAGCGAATGGAGGAAGTTGGAGATTGCATCCAGCGAGCTCTCACTTGAGCGTTTTCTAAACAGGCTTGTGTCTGGGCCGAATCACTCGTCCTTGCTCTGCGTAGGGCAAGAAAATGTAATCTACGTCTTGAGCTCCAAACCCGATGTGGTGATTCTCTACGATGCTTTCGATCGAAGGTGGAGCTTTGTGCCTTCTATGCCTGCACTACGACACAACAGCCTGGAGACGAAGTCAGTATTCGCATTTACTCCCTCATTCAATGCGATAGTGTAAGCTTTCTGCATTCATCTGACATTTGAGTACTCAAGAATTTTTTTCCTGGAGGGAGAGAAGTTGGGTTTCCGAGTTTTGCTGCAGGACTCGAACCAGAGCAGTCGCGGTCAAGCTCTGAAACGACACTTAATCTTAGCAGATGAGAAATATTGAGGCATCTGCTTCCGATGCTATTTGAAGAGAGCTGACAATCTAAGCCCATAACGGATCCCACATAAATGAATTGAGCGGGACATTTTTAGATCGAGTACCTGATGACGGGACTTTGTGCCAGTCAGAAACGACTACAAGTTCTACTCACCCATGCACACGAAATCTGAGGAATGTTCACCGCCTCTCTCATGGGATCTTTATTGGAAAAAAGAATTCGACTTAAAGATTGAATTACAGTGTTCACCAGCTTACAAATAAAGATCGCCAAAGCAGAAAGATGCCACAAATTGGGTCATGTTGAATTTAGTCCCAAACTAATGGCTGCTTATACGTACTTAAAACGAAGAGTCAAGTCAGCAAGGGCTGAAGTGGGATGACGTTTGAGCCCATTCCAGGTAAGACAGAATCGCATAGAACGTTCTCACAAATCACTTTTGTCCGTTTCCTTTTCAGCTGGAAGCGTCTTCAAAGGTTTGTATCGTATCTCTAAAAGCCCTAACACTCAAACTTGCTGGCGACAGAGTGAAATTTATAAAAGCCAAATTCTGTGCCTTTTTTATTTTGGGTCTTCCATCTTTTGCAGCTCCTTCCTCCTGCTAGTCACCTCAATGTCCACGCCCGCTTTCTATGTGACTGTCGATATCACCGGTGCAGGCTTTGGAATCATTGTGCAATTTTTCGTTGTAAAGGTTCATTGAAGTGCTTGAGACCCGTAGGGCAGTTCGATGTTGCCTGATGGAAATGCATCTGTGACGGGCAATGTTTTGTGACTTGTGAGCAGGATTCCTTTGCGTATGCTTCGGAGTTTCTAGAATCCGGTAAGTAGTAGGTTGCCGCGATACTATGTGGAGGATTTCTTGATGTGATGTAAACGACGAGTTTGAACTTAGCAATCTTCTCTAGACCACCTCAAATTTGGGTGCTTCGATTATTCTCTGAGCTCAGGTCTTCGTTACGTGCGAGTGGCGGGGATTGACCTGCACATTGCCGATTGGCAGCGTTTAATAGCGCGAGTTAGTCACGGGAAAGAAAACTGCTGCGTGGCGCTCGTGTAGTCCGTGCAAATCAGCGCAGGTGATCGAGCGTAGATGACGGAGTTGGTAGTTCCTTCCATGCATTCGATCGTTCAGAGGTTTGAACTTTAGGAGCTTTGCAGATTCGTCAAGGTTTTTCAATCTAGACTTGCGCTTGCTTACCTTCAAGATCTGTGAGTGCTAGTAACGAAAAATTGTTTTCAGCAGTCCATTTCTGCGTTATTATCTGTTGAAACCATTTGTATTCATCTGCTTGAACTGGTGGTTCTTTTTGGGTTTTATTAGGCGAGGGATTCGTAACTTGGCCATGACGGAGACACTTTCACTTTAATATGCTTATCACCGGAGTTACAATCCTTCTGTACGAAGCATGCTGAGCAGATAGACTGCTGCTGATAAATATAGACAACTGCTACAAGGCTCGAGGGTTACACAAGTAGTAGCTGCCATTGTGGCTCTGAATCTTTGAAGCTGGTACAAATTGCCAACGTATCCTGTGAGCGCTGATTACGTTCTGAGTGTAGCTATCCAAGTCGGGATGCGAGGAGGAGCTTAAACGCTTCAGATACTGGGGGCTGTTGCATCATTTCCAAAGCCTTTCAAATGAGCACTGGTTGTGATGTTGTTATGTGGAGGAGACCAGCGATGGCAGTACTGATTTTGGCGTGCGGATCCCTTGTCTACTACCATTGTGGGTTTCGGAACCTCAACATGGTGTCCCTAATCTCAGATGTGCTCTTCGTGATTACCTGGTCACTCGCGGTTCTAGGGCTTATCTTCCGTTCATTTAATCTCACCATCCTCCCCATGGACCCCGCAGAGTGGCAGATATCTCCTGAGACTGCGAATTGTATTGCAGCGACTGTAGCCAACGTACTAGGAGCTTTAGAGAGCGTGCTCCGGGTGGCTGCTAGTGGCTCGGACAAGAAACTGTTTCTAAAGGTTGTGGTTGTGCTGTACTTATTATCTGCGATTGGTAGGTCTTTGTCTGGGGCCACTGTTGCATACGTAACATTGTGGGTGATTTTCACAGTTCCGTGGTGCATGTTGAAGCTGGCACTTAAATCTGCTAGTGAACCTTTAATTCTGAAATTCAAAGAAAAGATAGCTGTTTGCTAGATCATGAATCTACGTAGAACGTAGGAAACTTGTAGCTCCACTCCTCACAGGCAGAGATTCTCTTGCATATGGCTTGCTTGATAGTGCCATTTCCTCTGGAATACTTGTCTGTTAGATGTCTCAAGTGCAATGGTGGATGTGCCTTGAGAATTGGAAAGAATGTATATATTGATCACAGTGGGGTACTAAGCTTCGAGATCGAACTTCCGCTGTCTGGTGCTTGAAAGATGGGACTTCTCAGCAATCTGTGAGTGAATCTCTCTTTTGCAGTATTTATTTAATAAAGCAAGCTATCTTGCAGTTTTCCGCCTTTCTATTTAGGACGAGTCAATAGTCACACATCTATTAATGTCGAGTCTTTCTCTAGAAGTCATTTTCTCCACCTTTTCATGCTTTTCTCATGGAGATTACTTCATCCTACTTTTAAGATGTGCACCAAATGACTACCTTCTAACTTTTTCGAGCGCTTCTAGCGCTTCATTAGGTCTGAGAAACTGCTAGCAAGCGTGAGAAAAGTTCTGCTATCAATATCTCCTAATACCCCATTGAATCAATGATCCTCGGTTTCAACGGTGCTAGTAATTTTGAGATGTTCTTCCCTTGGAAATTGCGAATACCACCATTCTCATCTGCAGCCTGCAACCTCTGGACTACTCCAACGCTTGAGCACAAGTGAAAAATCACTCGAAGCAAAGGATACTCAGTTTTCTGCAGCGTTTACTTCTGCAGAAAAGACTGCTTGAAGACACCACCTTTGCCAGTGGAGAAGAGAAGGAGCCTGCGCAAAAAGAGTTGTTCCATTTCTATATCACCCTAGGCATAGTTTTCACAAGAGTTCTATCATGCAGAATCCGACCCACACGTAACAACCACACAGAGGCTTCTATGAGGGCGTTGCAGCTGCTTGGTATTCTGGTACATTTGCCACTGGCATGCATGTTATTGCTCCAGATAAACTCTTCAGCAGCATTTTTGTCGCACATATGCACAATATGCAAGCCAACTGCCACCAATTGCCTTCTCCAGTGCCACAGAACTTTTTACTACTCCGTTGATCCCCACGCACAGTGAATTGTGCGTAGCACCCGTTTAGAAAGAGAGTCAATGTCTTATTCAAGAATCTGGTGACTTAATCAGGATAGGATTGATAGGAAGCTTTAGGACGGACTCCAAAGGTCGCATGACCACCTAGTTAGCCGTAGCCACCTGCCAAGAACCACTTGGACTTCATACCTCTTGAATTATAAGGTTTCGGCAAATGAATCTTCGCAGGATGGCTAAAAACTTTCTAGAGCTGAAACTCACAAAATGCAGTCTGGAGAATTTGTTGTTGCTTCCATTTTCATCTACTGAATCCAATTACGGTACGCGACACTTCATGCCCTTGATAGTAGCTAGATCACAGCAGACATCGCGGTCAGAAGGATTAGAAACAATCGCATAAGCGAGTAGGGATTGACCCCATGTTCAAACAAGAAAGCATAAAATTGATACCTACTCTATCTGACTACTGTACAATACAAATGCAGCTCCAATTGAGGACTCGGCTCATTAACAAAATGCAGTTACATTTGAAAATGAGCATGATAATCTAAACCCTAACACTAAGTTTCTGATGATTGATTCCGAATTTCAGCCTCGCTCTTCAACTTAGAATGCGAGAATGAAAGATGATGAGCTTGTTTTGAACTTCTGAAAGGAACAACTTATCACCTCGTTTGGATCCGCTTCTGCTTCACCTGAGGCACACAACTAACATGCGCAGTTCTGTAGATAACTCTCAAAAAGTAGAAACCTATTACATTTCTAGCTGATGAATCCTTCCATTACTTATTCGAAACCGCATCTAGGGGTGCAGTAATTGTGCAAACCCTTACACAATTCACTATACGTTTGTTCAAGGTAATTGACGCACATTTTGCTGTGTCATGATGAACTATGCACAACTCACTATGTTCCTGTATTTTATGTTAGCATCAAATGCTTCGGTCCAATATTTGTAATGCACTTCTTAGCGACCTAGGTTCTGATTGAAAAACTGCAGCAAACCCTTTTCACCGAGGAGGATTCCAAGTTTCTGATGCATCACCGAGGATATCGCTTCCTCTGGGCTGGTTATAACATGATCAACTGACATGGTTATAAACTCCTCCAAATTATGTACCGCTCCATCTACATTCACACCACCATTTCCACTTCAGGCAAATAAGGATATTTAGAAATGGAAGATTCTCAAAGCACTTTGAGGGTAAAACGTACCTTCAGCCACTAGACAATCGTAAAGTGGGGGGAGGGCCATCCAACTCCCGTCTTTTTTCTTCATATGCCGTCTATCAGAGGCAAAGAATCTCAAATACATGGGTGCAGCAATGACCCTGTAGAATCTGCAATGTAGTAGAAAGAGGTTGAATGCACTTACTAAATACGGGATCTAATAAAATCTAGCCTCATAAACGCCACCTTTGGAAGGATTCAAAAGATGAGTAACAATATACTACTTAGACCACCAAACCTATTAAAATGCAATTAGCACTAGCTAGGTGAGTAACCTGGAAAACTCGGGATTCAAGGGTATCCATGGCTGAAAAGCTCCTGCCACATAATCATCTAGAGTAGTTGGACATGGCAGACTGGTGTCCAGATCCCAAACCAGCACAGCAGTCTCCCTTTTCAGATCTCTCTGCCACGGAATCCACCAACAATTTAATTTAAGGCTCAAAATTCTATTGAATAATGTACAGCCTAAAATGGATTTTACACCACTCTAAGAAGAGCAAACGTAAATTACAAGGTAGAAAGAACAACACGAATCTGAAAGGAGACAGTAGAATGTCAAGCAAACACACTCTCTTGATTTGAAATTGAGAATCTATGTGCTTAAACTGCTGCTATTACTTATACTACTATCAGATCTTCTGATTAAGGAAAAGAATACTACTTGAATGCATATAACATGGTAGTCCCAAACGCATAATCCTGCTGCGTCCTTGCTGCTTCTTTGACGCCATATAGGAACCTGCACAGTTCCGATTAGAATGAGGATGAAAGAATCTCGTTGTTTTGCAGAGGCAGTTGCATCGCACATACGCAAGGAACAATCTCACGTCCACAACTAACAAATCCAATTCATAGGGGAAGAAAAGCAAGGATGCTGAAGACTCGATGTGAAGGTCCTGAGGGTCACCTGGCGTTTTGGATTGGAGATGAAGACCGCAAAGAGGTCAGACGCGTCTGGAGCAGCCAACCCCACTTTGCTCAACTTCTTGCATAGCATGTACACATTCTCCTCACTGTCACACATGAGATTGTCGTCATTCCGTTCTACGTTGTATCCCAGATTAATAAGATGTTGAAATTTCAAGAAACTGAGTGCGGTTACATATCAAAACGTGTAAATCCTCTTCAAACTCCACTACTTCATATGCAACCTCACTAATCCTACGACCAAAGTTGCGACAAAGAGAAGAATGATACCTGCACAAGGAGGCACCACTCAAGGCCTAGCGAAGTAAATTTTCAAGAGTAAAACTTCACACAATGCACAAATTCAACCCGGAATGCACAATGCCAACTGCAGATTCAACTCGAAAACCTAAAGGCTAATCCGATGCCAACAGGATAGCAGAGGAGTAACCGTGGTTTAAGCGGCAGTAGACACACGGCTCATACCAATAGCACGAAGTGTAGTCAAAACTGGACAAAACATCTTCAACTTTCTCCGACGCTCCAGAATCCTTTCCGAATTCCTCATCCGCTGCATATTCAGACCCACCCCCAGAGAACTCCAAATTTGTCGAAGAATTCGGTCCATCCATGCCTCCAATCCAATAACAGGAAAATCGAGACCAAGCGACAGCTCTCCTTTTCACAGCTGTTCAACGTCCACACTTAACACCAAAACGCCAACTCCCACTGAATGTGCACCCAGGCTCTGCTTTAAATAATGCCTATCCGCCCCAAAAAACCTAGAACACAAATCAACAACAATGCACGCCTCATTGTGAATCACTTTACACCACAAAAAAGTTTGCACCCATTTCTCAACTCGAATCGAAGCTGGATCACCGCAAACGCCAGCTACATGGGCTCACAAAAAATGGCTGGGATTCATAGCCATCCAGGACGATCACGCAATTAAGTCAAATCTCAATAAATTTGGACAAAGCACACTCTTCAATCTCAAAGAAAGCGGAGGTTATCCCTGGAACATAAAAACATTGAGACCAAACCGCCAGCTCTGGAGCTGATTAGCGTTCACTAAGAAAGTGTCGGTGTCGGTGATTAAGCAAGCACGAACCAATCCTCCAACCTTTGTAGGAGTGTACGTTGCCGCAAGGAGTGCCAAGCCCAGTTCATATCATGGTAGGGTAATCAGTGGGTCTAGTCCAGGTATCAATCCGCCCCTAGGCCGCTTATTCTATACACCGGGCTTGCACCGAGCTGCCCCAGCACTGGCTCTGCTAATACTAAAACCCCAACAGCCCGCAAACCAGGTAACTCTCCTCATTGTGATCCATGAAGCGACCAAAGATTAATGCAACGACACGATACATACCCAATCATTTCATAATTTTTCGTGCTTCTGTATGGAATCCAACACTGCGATTGACGCATTGTATCGCACTTATCACACGCTTTCATCACTCCAGCGACTTCCACAAAACAACCCAACACGCTTGAGTCGACGTGGGGGAAGCAATTCAAGTAATCCACCCATCCCCACCCGACTGCAACTCGGAATTTTGTACTTGTTCTTGTGGGATTCTCTCTCTCGCTCTTTCTTTCTCTCACACACACTCTCTTCACATGATTTGCGCAAGTTTCAACATTTTCATGGGTATGTGATTGTTTTCCCTCGAGGATCGTCGTGGCTTGAAACACCATCGAAATCAGGAATCAAACAGCCTCACTTCAAAATCTGCGGGTTGGATATATTCCACTCTCTCCTGTGTCGTGATTCCGATGCCAGGTTTGTATCTGCCAGCATCGCTGCTGGAGTTTGTTCGTGGGGTTTTTGTAAAAAATAAATTTAACTTTTAAAAAAAAATTGTCAAAGGGGGGATCCATTCCCGAGGTTTGAAGGTCGATTTGAACGCTTGTGACACGTGTCGGCTGGATGGGATCTTCATTTGTGAAGTCCGAGAGGAATGGACGAATGAGGATGAGAAATTAATGTATGGATGAAGTTTTTGTTGAGAGATTAATTTGGGTGATTGATTGATTGATTATCTGATGAATGAATAAATAAATAAATGAAGGGAATGTTATTTCTTTCATGATTGAAGAAATACAGAAGGAAAAAAAAAAAAAAAAAAAAAAAAAAAAACTTTTAGATTCATTTGTCCACTATTACATCCAAAACCAATGAAAACCAACCATATTTATTTTAATTGCCATATTCTTCATTATGGATAGATTGATTTAGTAAAAATGTGGGTCTATTTAACATTCTCCTAAATATATATATATATATATATATATACACACACACTAAAGCACAATTGTTTCTCCACAAATTTTCTTTTGTAAGAAGTACTATACATGCATGAAATAAATATCCAATTTAAACCTCAATTTTGAAATCATCTCCCAACATGTTGCATGATTTTAAACTCTTCAGGATTGATATATTTAAGTTAGCTTGCTTCAAGTACATATACATCTTTATTGGCAATATTCACTCATCTATAAGAAATTGGAACTAAAGACATTCTTGTGAAACCAAAGTCATACTTTTTAGCTCACAAATATGTATTAAAACCATCTCCACTAAAGTCTTGGTACTATCCATGCTACCTTGTGACATTAATAGATTGGCTTTAAAATGCATGGAAATTGGACGGAAAGAAGAATTATTATTTTAATTGATTATTTTGTCACATGATATAGCATTAGGTGCCAAATCTCATCAAATGTATGTAATTTAGTTTAGTTAGTGGTTTTTCATCCGTTGATTTTTATTGTTGGTTGACTTTATTAATGTCAACTAGAGTTTGGATACTTAGCTGGAAAAAAACCCTTGACTTGACATTCTTGTCAAGTCAAATCTTGTGAGTGATTTTAAGAGAGAGGAAGAACTTGTTGTAAGGATTTGCTTGGCTATGGTGATTTAGCCATTTCAGTAAAGCTTTAGAATTTTCTCTATTCTTCACACTTACACTCTTGAATATGCAGGTCAAGATATCCAATTCTTATAAGGATTTGCTTGTCTATATATATTGTCTCTAGTTGTCGGTGCTAGAGAGTTCTCAAGTATGGGATACGATTGGTTGGGAAGTACTAGCAGTGGTGCATATAGGTCGTTGATATAGGACAGCACTAGAGCTGCTATGCGAGGTACTAAAACACTACAAAACAATGCGAGATTGCGGCGCTGGACTATGCGAAGCGGAATATCGCGAGGCAAGGCTGAGCTACGGTGCTTGAATGCGGCGACGAGGTATTGGACACGGATGAGGTGGGTAGTATGGGTCGCAGAGTTTGATTGCAAAGAATAGTAGGAGCAAGGCAGGTGCAAAGTTGGGTTTGAATTATGAACAACAATCGATGTTGAGATTCGTTGCATGACACAGTAAATCAAGAAGGCAAGCCCAACTCAGTTTCAATTTTTATGTTTTTTTTACATTTGGTTATTATTTTTGAATTGGAGCGCAAATCTGTTGGTACAGATAAGGGTTGTGGTGCGAGATGCGATGCAAGGATGGTGCAATGCACTCTTGCGTGCAAATTTGCAAGAAAAAAATAAATTGGCAAAAATCAGCGACAATCACTATGGCACCTTGCATCATGCGATGATATGCTTAGTGCAAAGTTAAGATCCTCGCTCATAGAATATGTGCATTAAAGGGTAACACAATCAAAAGGTACACGATTATACTTCTGCGGTGACAGGGAATAAATGGCAATCGGTCCTACAATTTATAGGACCATATCAGTAATAGGACTCATTGTGGAATCATATGCTTAAAAAAAAAAAAAAAAAATATATATATATATTGTCCAAAATTCTTAAGTGTTAAATTTGGAAGTTCACTCAAAGTGCATATGGAATTCAAACTTTATTAGTTTTGATCCAATTTTATGTAGAAGGGGCCTAAGGAATTTATTGGCAATCTTGGTTTTTAGATTAGAGATCATATGGAGCTTTGAAGTAGTATTTACTAAATGTCAATTGTTTTTTGAGTTTTTGATTTTTTTTCACTTCTCCACATTTTAATTTATTGCAATTGTCTTCTATTTTCACAAAATTAGTGATTTGTGATTATCAATTGTAGGTGAGTGGGAGTTGCTTTGGATTATTTTTGATTTTTGCTTTTATATTGTTAGAGATGATGATCTAGTGTAGAATTCTAGATTTTGGTTTTGGTACCTTCTCCTAGTTGCAAGTATTGTTCTTAGAGGTTTTGTTAGGGACATAATCCTTAGAACCTTTTAGAGACAAGTTTCTAGAACCTTCTAGAGATAAGTTTCTAGAACCTTCTAGAAGCAAGTCTCTGGAACCTTCTAAAAGCTTCTTAGTTGGTAGAAGATGTTAGGGACATAGTCCTTAGAACCTTCTAGAGATAAGTTTCTAGAACCTTCTAGAAGCAAGTCTCTGGAACCTTCTAGAAGCTTCTTAGTTGGTAGAAGTTGCTTGAGAAGCTTCTTAAATAGGAGTATATATTGGAATCGAGGTTGAAGAGTTCTTCAGTCTCAACAACACATCTCTTGGAGCTCTAGCTCACCTCTCTGGTGTTGTTCTTGTATTCATCTGATTAATCTAGTTCTTGCCAATTCTTCTTGAACTTCTTATTAGATCTTGAGTCTATATTTCTGTATCTATGACAGTTTGTCGAGACTTCACTCACCTCAGATATCAGAGCTAGTTTCTTCCTCGTTAGAGTGTGGATTACCCCTCTGCTTGGAAGTGTACTAGCATTTTAGAGGTTGCGGATTACCCTCCTCTAAAGTGATACTTCTTTTGTTACAATATTGGAGTCTTATTCTTCTTGGAGAGAGTGGATTACCCCTTTTCTTGAAGCTCTTAAGGCATTTTAGAGGTTGCGGAGTACCCTCCTCTAAACCAATATTGTCTTCTTATAGATTCATTTCTGTCCTTCTCTTAGAATGGCCGGGGGTCAAGACATTAGTATGATGGAAAGTTCGGAGTCCAAGTTGGATGCTATCATGAATGCCATCGCTACGTTATCGCAAAAAACTGCAGAGATTGAAGGAGTCGTGGCAAGGCTTCATAATGATGGAGCATTTGGGATGGCACAATTTAGGTTGCATCAGCCTCAAACTTCTGCACTTGGAGAAGCAAATTTGCCTCACGTTCGACAAGCACCGCTAGTTCTACAACATAAGGAGCCCCGAGTTAGTCTTCCGGAAAAGTTCGATGGTACGCGTTCCAAGTTTTGAGGATTCGTCAATCAAATCAGATTGATAATAGTTTTACAGCCCGAACGTTATCCAACGAAGGAGTCACGTGTTGGGCTTGTTGGAACCTTACTAATAGGACAAGCTCTATCATGGTTTGCTCCTTTGTTTGAGAAACGATCGCCCATACTAAACAACTTTGAAACCTTTTTGGAGGCGTTTGCGGAAGCATTTGGTGAACACGACAAGGTTCGATGGGCTACAATAAAGATCCGATCACTACGACAAGGGATGCGCTCTCCATCAGTCTATACATCGGACTTCAGGCAATTAGCATGCGACATCAATTGGGACGAAGAAGCATTGATGAGTCAATTCTATTGGGGTTTAAGGGACGATGTGAAGGATTTACTGTTATCTCTTCTTGATCCACAAACGCTCAATGAAGCTATTAGCCAAGCTGTGAAGTGCGATAACCGCCTATTCCAACGCCGCCAAGACCAACGTTCAAGACAACATACGATTCGCCACACCGCAACTATATCGGCAAGCAGTGTGAATTGACATTCAGAGGTAGAAGACATGCAAATTGATGCGGTACGTGACAAATCCCTTACTTTAGAAGAAAAAAAAGCAGCGTAGGGAGGAAGGTCTATGCTTGTATTGCGGTGAAGAAGGCCACAAAGTTGGAAACTGCCCCAAGAAGCAAAATCGACGTATTGTCAAGACTAGGGGCACATTTGTTCAGGAAAACGAGGATGCCCAGCCACAATAGAAACTGTGCGACTGGACAGTGAAATATCGCAACAACAACCAGGTTCCTTTCTTTCCGCTCAACCTGCCCTTTGTTTTACAATCCCTTTGCTTATTGGCCCTCAGAAACTCAGAACCTTAGCATTATTAGATTCAAGAGCATCTGCTTGTTTCTTAGAC